AAAGGGCCTCCTGCCTGGGCTCGCCGCACCGGCCACGTGTAGGCCCATCTGTCCCGGTTTGTGTAAGAACCGGGACTAAAGGTCTAGGGCATTAGTACCGACACTTTAGTCCCGGTTCAATAACCGGGACAAATGGCCCTTACGAACCGGGACAATAGACCCTTTTTCTACTAGTGCTCCCTCGTCGAAGTCAAACAAACCTTATTGTAGTAAATAGTCGAGAAGTCGTCCTGCTGAGGCCTCAAAGAACCAGTCTGATGAAACAACAACCGTCACCAATGATGAGAAGTAGACCCACCAATAAAATACAAGGACCGACGAGATCCAGGCAGATCCGTTAGATACATAAGCTGACCAGATCCAAGAAGATCCGTCGGGGACACAACGCCATACACCTCCGCTGATGCTAGATCCTAGATGCACCGTCCGAGTATGTAACTTGAGTAATTGAGTATGAGATTTCTACAAAAATATTATGTTCAAAGAAAATTGACCAGTGATTTTCTTGTGTGATATAAGTGTCTAACATTAATTTTCGGGAAAGAAAGAGCATATATGGTAGTGTAAGGGTTTCAAGGAAAAAACAACATTCTTTACTTCTGCGTGCTAAATGCATCTGTGGCAGTATTCTGTAACCTTTGCATTAACAGGGAAATATTTGCATGCAGAAAAAAAATACATTCTGATTTACAAATAGCTCACGCTTTCCTCTAGGAGACGTGGACCGACCGGAAGGTGGATGTCGCACATGAACGTACAGTTTGGTCGTATGCACGTAGCATGGGTCAAGCTTATCCATCTGGAGTCACAGGCTCACAGCTCGTGCCGGTGTATACGTCTGGATGGTTGCATGAGATGAAACTTGAATAATGCAACGTGCTGGCCGGTGGCCGTATCACCTTGTTTCCGGGAGAGGATCACCTCTTTGTCATTGACCTATATAGATATATATAAACCTTAAAAAGCGCTCAATAATGGTCGTGGTGGCAAAACAATAGGCAAGCATGGCAAAACCTTCTTGGAAAAGATGTATTTTTGTAATGTGTGATTAAAAATTGTACTTTGGTAATGTTTTTTTTTAAACAACGGGCCCCTCGTTGATTTCTGTTACGAAACAACCGACGTTTGTACGGAGTTCAAACATGAGAACAAAACATGAAAGCAAACTACATAAAACTATTAGTGCTCACCTAGTCCTACTACTGGTGATGCAGATTTAAATGAGTTGCTGTTAGATGGAGAGAATGCTGATGCAGATATAGAAGAAAAATACCTAGATAAATTGAAACAAGTTTTTTCTTAAAAAAACACAGAGATGCTGTTTCACCTGGTATGATTAGGCTGAAAACAGGTATTCGTGTTAATAGAAAAGCTGGGAAATCCAGTAAAGTGACTTATAAATAATTTACTATCTTTTGTGCTCTGTCATAATGAAAGATATGTTTTGGAATGCTAGGGTGATTGGAGAAGACATTAAGAAAAATTTGTGAGATAATCAATATGTGATTTGCATATTGATATCTTGGAAATTCAAGACTCTTTTAGCCCTTCTG